CTAAGGGCCTGATTACATGAGGAGGGCTGGCCCTCCTACCCGGGATAGATGATTTTGGCTGAGATCTCCGTATCAATAAGAAATGTATTATGATTTGAGATTGCGATTACATGCAGACAGGGCCAGTCCTGATAGCCTAGATCTCGCCTACTAGTGAGAGGGCTGGCCCTGTTAACAGGGCTGAAAATGTGGTGTTTTCATCATGTAATCGATTGGGTAGGGCTGGAAAGAGGGCTGGCTTTCTAAAGACATAACTGCGCATGCTTGCGCCCGCTTGCATTTTCATTTTCATCATTCAAAATGGCAGACGCAAGCAAAGTGAATAAACCGAGTGGGAAGAAAAATACTGGTGCTAAAGCAAAAACAACAGCTTTCAAATGGACGGTTGAAATGGTAAATGACATGCTTGATTTTTTGCTTGAACACAAAACAGAGATGGAGTACAATAATATCGATTTTAATGCCGACAATGTTCAACTTTATGAAGCAATTCGTTTGAAAATGGCTAGAAAATATTCTGAAGCAGAAGGAAGTATGTTTGGGCCTACAAGCAAAGTTGATGGTGAGGATATTGAGAAATACAAAACACGATGCGAAGAAGATAAAAATAAGGTTAAGAAAGGATATTCACGTATTAAGGAAAAGATTAAGGAACTCAGACAAAAGTTCAGTAATGCTGTGACACTGGGGACACGATCTGGATCTGGGAAGTTGGTTCTAGAGTTCTATGACCTCATGGTTGAAATTTGGGGAGGTGCTCCCGCTACTGAGCCTGTATCGTTTGGAGTAATGACTGCAGAAGAAGGGGTTCAACGCCCTGATGCTGCTGAATATGGTGATCATACACAGGAGGAAGAAGAAGGCAATGATTTTCTTGAATCCCTGGCTACAAACATAGATAGGCCTACCTACCTTTCAACTCCCAGTTCCAAGACAATTTTTAAAACACCTGGTAAGAAACGAAAGGGAACAGAAGGTGCAGCTCCCTCCCTTATTGACAATAAAAGAAAAAACATGGAACGGCAACTTTCTGCTGCACAGAGGGATAAAGTTCTTATGCAAGACAGCAAGGAAGAAAAAGAATTCAGAAATAATTTGGTGAAAGCGATGCAGGAGTCAAATGCCCTTTTTGCTGAATCAATGAAGGCCACGAGTTCATCAATGGTTGCACTGGCCCAATCATTGCAGAAATCAACAGAAATGATGTCTCAAGAACAAATTCCACGTGAATTTCCAAACCAATATCAACACATGCCTTACGTTTATCAGAATGGAAATTACATAAATCACCAGGACATGGGAATGAATGATCATGGGAATGATGGGTCAACCGCCCATGAGCAACCAGAAAGAGGAAGAGCATGAATCGGATATTTATATGTTTAATTAACTGTCTAGCTGGTTACACTCTCAAATGTTTCCTGAAACTGCAAAAAAATAAACATATTTTGTTGAAAGTCCATAAGAGTTGAGATGTATCAATTCACTTAGTGTAAGTCCAGGTTTAAAATTATCAATTTAGTAATTGTCTGGCAAGTTTATATCAAGTACTCTACTAATGTTTCCCTTACTGATTCTCCTTCACTTGTTGTATTTGAATAAACAGGATCAGGCAAATTTTTGTATTTGTCCTCTTCTGGTCTATTTTGTTGCATTTGAGAGTTCACAGTTTCCTCATCAATGGTATTTGCATGTAGCTCACAAAAATTGTGAAGCACAAAACATGCATGCACTACTTTTGGAATTATTTGCAGTTGAAGATCCATTTTCCTTGTCAAGATGGACCATCTGGCTTTTAAACGTCCAAATGCACACTCAATGGGATTGCGAGCACTTCGTAATATATTATTGAATATAACCTCTGCATTTGTTTTGCAAGTCTGAAACTCTTTCATGCAATTTGGGGTGAGGGGGTAGGCCGGATCTCCAATCAGGTAATTAGGGATTTGAACATGACCAGGAATCAGATGGATGTATACTTGAGGCATTGTACCATGTTTTAATTTGTTGTTTACTACAGAGTTCGAAAACACTTTTGCGTCATGAATGCTGCCTGGCCATCTACAATCTATGTCCATGAAATAGCCTTGTGCATCACAAACAGCTTGAACATTCAATGAAAAAAAATGTTTGTAATTAAAATAGTCTTGAGAATTCATATGAGGTCTTCGGATTGGTACATGTGTACCATCGATGCAGCCAAAAGCATGAACCATTCCAAATTTTGTTTCAAATTGTGCTGCCTTTTCTCTCATTTCATCGTGTGTTTTAGGTAATGTTATATACTCTGGTGAAAGATATTTTGAAATAGCATTACAGACCTGAACAATCATTTTCGAAACTGTACATTGATGGATACCGAATGTATTTGCTGTCATCCATATAGAGTACCGAAGTGTGACGTCAGGTTACCATGGAGTCACTTTTTACTGGTTCTAAACAAACGTCCGCTTGAACCAACATGGCGGCCATTACGATAAGTGCTCTCACGGCTTTCTTCTCGGACGAGCCGAAATCAATCCAACGAGGTGAAAATCACTTCAGATCCGACCATGTTGAATCTTTTTATTATTCTGATGGAGTAATTCGAGGATCAGTGCACGCTAGTATGAAGAACAAGTCCTATAAAGTCACGGTAAGCGAATATAATGTATCTTATTACCCTAGCTCCTAACATTATATTTTGTAGTAGGCCTAACGATTATTCATGATTATTCTTTAAGTTTATCATTCTTCTTCCCTTTTCATCTTAGAATTCCAAGTTAAATTCTGGTCTCTTCTTTAAATTTAGGTATTCCTCCGTAATGATGAAATAATATCATCTGAGTGTGAATGTCCTCGTGGAAGTTACAAGTGTGCTCATGCCGCTGCAATTATAATCCATGGGATCCACAACCTTAGTCGAACAGATGTCGAGTGTGAATGGAAGAAGCAGAAGGCTCCGCTAGATGTAAAATCTGTAGAAGAACTCTATCCATGCCCAAAAGAATACAACTGTCTTAAACGAGAGGTTAATGATGATGATAGGTCCTGGTTCTACCAAGAACTCAAAAAGTATGGCAGCTTTACTGGTACTTTGTGGCTTCTCTCTCCCGAACCAGCAAAAGCTCTACTCCCAATTACCCCCGTTGAAGACATCATTGTATCATCAGAATTCATTAATCATAATAACCAGCGTGAATATCTTGTTAAAAGATTAGAAATCACTGCAGAACAGCGGTTGAAAGTGAATCAAGTCACCATAAAACAACGAGAAAACCCCTCTTGGCATATTTTACGAAAGGGAAGACTGACTGCAAGCAATTTTGGGAGTGTGCTAAAGGCTAAAAAAGCAACTCCATCGTTCATCAAGCGAGTCCTTGGCCAGTATGATTTGTCTGGAGTAAAGGCCATTCACTGGGGGATCGTTAATGAAAATGAGGCAAGGAAAGTATTTGAGCAGAAAACAAATTTAAAGGTAGAGGATTCCGGGCTATGGCTTGAATTGTCTGGCATTTTGGGTGCCTCCCCTGATGGCTTAATTGATGAAAATGCATTGCTCGAAATAAAATGCCCTTACAGCCAGAGAGATTGCACCATTGAGGAAGCAATCAGATCAGAAAACTTTTATATAAAAAAATATGATGATGGTGTGTATCAACTGAAACAAACACACGATTACTGGCATCAAATTCAAGGCCAGCTTCACTTGACTGACAGGGAAGTTTGCTTTTTTGTTGTTTGGACAACAAAACAATCCTTTATTATTCAAATCAAGAAAGATCCTGCATGGGCTGAGAATCTGCTCATTTTGAAGGACTTTTACATAAAAAATATGATTCCTGCATTTGCAAAAGATCTTTTGTAATTGTATTTTACAAGTATTTGTCTAAATATTATAATTGCTTGTCTTTCAAATGGTGTATACATCAAAGTTAATAAAACAAGAAAATTTCACAGTACAATCCAACACAATTTTTGAGTATGATGTATTGATCAGTATGATTAAGTTTTTAATTAGTATGATTGATTTTATGGAAATAAACAGCATCCAGTTTTGAATATAAGACAATCTTTATTGCAAACTGTAAAGGGCAACCAAACATTTGAAAGAATGTTAAGTCCAGGGCAAATGAGCTGAACATTACATTCAACAACATTCAAGTTTGAGGTAAAGAAAAAATCCAACTAACTTGGCAATCTTACTCAGTCAATGAACATTTTAGTAAAGTATTTCAGTAAAGTTTTAGTAAACAAAATGTGGTTAGTGCCATGTTCATTTGATTTTGCCTCTCACCTTAAGAAATACTGAATATTTATCCACAATCTGCCTGTATAAATTTTGAACTGACCACAGTTGCTCACTTGGCAATGGGTATGTAATGTTCAGTTCACTTGTCCAGGGCTTTTTTAAGTCTGTAATTTATATGCTATTCAAAAATAGGGTTAAGGCTCAAAATTAATTCTAGTCAAGTTGATTTCAAATTTTTGTTTATGTTCTATTCATTTTGACATTAAAAGAAAATTATGTTAAATCTACAGTGTCTCTGATTTCTCTGATGAGTGAGTTTTGCAAGTTGACCAGCCCAGCACACAGTTTTAAAAGTGTTTCAGAGTAGCATCGAAGGTATGGTGGAATAAAGCTTAAGATCTTAAAATCTTTAAGCCTTGCGTTTGCTCGTTCCACGTGAATTCTGCATCGTGCAATTGTTTTTGTGAGCTTTATTTCACTTGAATTAAACTTTCCATTATATAAGAATTGGGGAATGTTCACGGAAACACCTGGGGGAAGAATATCTGTTATTAAATACCCCTTGTCTGCCAGTATCAAATCTCCTGCTTCAAAATGATGTAACACTCCAGATTTTTCAACAATGGCTTTATCAGATGTTGAGCCAGGAAACAGTTTGCTTACATAAGTAATGACAGCATTTGGTGCAACCCCAATCAGTGTCTTGAATGAGTTCATTCCTCGGTATGTTGAATAGATCAGTTTCTGTTCACTCATCAAGCCAGGGGCAGCAACCTCAATATCAGTGCAGTCAATGATCATTTTACAATGGCCAAACAATGAAAATGATTCAGGCATAGAGGTTCTGTTCTTTTCCCTTGAAGGCACAGTTTTTAAACAGTCCTCATAAAGCAGCTTGCAAAGTACATGAACAAATGTTAATATTATATTACTGATCGTTGAAGTGCTACAGTGAAAAAGCTCAGCCAAGTGCAGGTTTGTATAGTTCTGTCGTACTTTCATTAGGGTTATAAAAACTTGATCTTC